GTGTGTGTGCGTGTGTGCATGCTTTCTTGTAATACTGTAATGGGTTATCCGTTCTGTCCATTCACCTAAATCTTTGAACCTAACCTTAACCAGCGCCTCAAAAATAATGTTTTGTCTCACTTGGACCGGTTTGGTCCCCATGAGGTCTACTGGTCTATGCTGCAAAAGGTCTTAAAGAGGCAATAAAAATTAGCTCACACATGCAGCCACAGGCTAAGGTAACATTTTCTTGGAGTGCATCGCAGTTGCTCACAGCTCTGGCTTGTGCAGTGTCGTGGCTGATCTGTGTCCCTCATGCATAATGAGTTGGAAACAATAACAACACAGCTGTACTGCAGAGTGAGTGGGCATGCTTTGACAGCAGAGTGTCACATAATAGCTGAGAAACGAAGGATTGAACTGGTTCAAAGACAACTATACTCAGTACTTTATTATACATTATACAAACTGTTTTAGTCTGTAGAGTCAATTTCCCACTAATTGTGGGATTTGATACTGAAAATATAAAAGATAGATAATTTCCAGTTATATAACAAACATAAAAAAGCAGATCCTCATATTTGAGGAGCTGAACGAAGCCAATGTTTGTGATTTTTGCTTGACTCAAATTATTTTCTGTAAATTGACTAATTGAATTATTATAATTAATCATCTAATCCCTTCCATAAGAGCATGGTTTAGGATCCACTTTGGGAAAATGAATGAACAGTTTACAGAGAGCATGAGAATAGATTTTTTTTTCTAAATTCTTATGAAACATTTCGGGTAGCATTCAGCGATGTAGCAGTATTGTGCATTTAACAATGAACACTGTTTGTCATCCAGAGGATCTGGGTGATGGGTCCTCCTGAATGCGGAGGATGATTTCTAACTCACCATGTGGTTTGTAACGGGGAAGAACTTCTGCTTTGAACTCTGTGTGATGCCTATTGGCAAACATGTTCATTCCCTGTCAGCTCTTCACTCTCTGTACCGAGCTACTGTGGATTCACCACGAGGCTCTTCTGTCACATAAGCTTCTACTATCCGTCTGTCTCTTATTTGATTTCTGGTGTATATTTGACATTTAGAAAATAATGTAATTTCCTTGCGATACTTCAACTACAATAAAAGCATCTGCAGATAATGTCACCTCTCTGTGATGCTGCAGAGAGGAAGGAGAAGCATTTGTCTTTCATTCACTGTGAATGTTTAGCTTTATCTGTAAGCAGGTGACAGTCACTGTGTCTGCTGTCTGCATTCTTAGACGTTTAGTTCTCTGGAGAAAGGAAAAGAGGAAGGGTCAGATTTAAGATTTACTGAAAAATCAATTTCTGACACATTATCATTCTGTTACAGTGCAGACTATTTGTGGTGTGTCTCCCGTAAGTTTATAAAAACAGTTTGAATTACCAGCCTGACTGTGACATTCAAATAATAAGTCTGGATCGTCCCTTTTTCTGGGTATGGAGCAGGAAAAAGAGAACACTCACGCACACTAGGCAAGTGTGTCCCGCTGGACACATAAATAGTTGCAGATTGTTTCAATAATATCTTGTCTCCTGCACATGTAAACAGTTGTATCATTGTAAAAAGCAGAATTAACCACACAACAGCTGTTAGCTAAGACAACAGGGTCAGCAACGCTAGTAATTGATTATCCATGCCGGACGTTCTCTTCCTGGAGGGGGTCATCAACAAAGCATTTCAGTGGCTCTAAAAGGCTCTCATATTAGGGACGCCAGGCATATCCATAGCAGGTTTGATGTGTTTTTAAATGAAAATATAATAGTATGGATGTATTCATATCAGTCCCCTATACATGCCTGATTTTTTTCACTCAAGACCCATTAATTATTCCCTGAGAATTCAAAAACCGTCTTATCTTGCAATGGTAAAGAGAGTTAAAAAAAAAATCTGGGTTGCACCAACATTTTATGGATTCTTTCCTGACCCCCACCACATCCTTCCACCAAGTTTCGTGGTAATCTGTTGTGTCATTTTTGTGTATTCCTGCCTACAATCAAACAAACAAAACAAACCAACTTTGTTAGGTAACCACCATAGACTGTATATAAAGAGGTAACCACCCCAAACATTCCCAGTACATATACCAGTGGGGAGAGGATCCAACTACTCCCTTCAGTACTCATGTGATTTATGGTCCGCTTAGGGAAAAGTAATTTCTCTACCTGCCCCCTCTAGTTCACAAAAACACACCTTCCTTAACCTGAGCCAGACTGTTCATTTAAAAAATATTTGTATTGTAGGAGGAATATCTGTAATGAAAGCTTTGTTTGCATAACCATCATTGTTTTCTCCCCACAACTTCCTCTTTGTCAAACTAATGGTTTCCTTCCCTTCGTCCATAGAGGGAGGTGCATGCAGTATACACAGAGAGAGAGAGAGAGAGAGAGCCTCAGTGTTTCACTTCAGCCTCTTTTAACAGGCTTTTGTGTGTCAGTTCAGTCAAACACACAACCCCAGACCCTCACAGCACTATCTCCTAAAAGCAGCTGTGTTGAGGACCTCTGACTTCCATGTGCTTATATGGTCGTGCTCACCCCCCCCCCCTGACTTCCTCTGCAAATGGTACAGTCCATTTAAAAAGGTGCTTGTCATCTCTCAATGCTCTGTGTCCTTTCAACAGTCAGCTGCAGGGAGCACATTGCACAGGGGCAGTGCTGACTCTGTAACGCGCGCGCATACACACACATGCTGTTACGGAACTCTCACACACAGGCACGCTCGCACACTGACACACTCCCACCATACACACACACTATCTCCAACACTCCCTCCAGCAGATACACACATTTCCCCTGAGCTGGATGCCTCTCTTTACCGGACAGGACAAACTGCTCTGAGGATTTAACTTGGCTTTCTCATAGACAGGGAGTGAGATCAGACAGAAAAGGGACAGAAGAGGGATTTGATTTTGTTTGGGAGGGAGACTCCTTCCTTCTCCGGAAATGGTCAACTTGTCAGCATGACACCTTGTCTGGATTCCCCTCTCCCCCTCAGGCAAAAATCCTGAAAATGATGGATGACAACAAGCAGTTGGCCCAGCGCATTGACGGGGCCATTCAGTCGGCCAGCCAGGAGGTGACCAACCTGCGGTCGGAGCTGAGCGCCACCAGCCGCAGACTGGCCGAGTTGGGGGCTACGGACTCCTCCGCCGGCATGCTCGAGACCCTGCAGCACAACCACAATGGTAAGGCAACCGCTCGGAGAGGAGTGGAGGAGTACACATTAACTGTGCTGGGAGAGGCTGGGAACATGTGGAGCATCAGAGCGCAGGCTGATGCGTAAGATGTTGCAATGTGCGCCCAAGTGTTGCTGTATGTGATGGACGATGTGAGCAGAAAAAGCTGGGGATCATGCCTCAATGTCCACATCTGAAAGTGAGTCAATGAGCTGGACAAAAGAGGTGAGGGGTTTCTGCCGGCTTGTGTCCACTCTCAGTTCTCCCACAAATCCATTCACATGTTGAATAATTAACCTCCTGAACCTCTGAGAGTGTGTGGGGGGGGGGGGTGGCTGCACTTTAGTAAGGGCAGAGTGGGTAGAGTTACAGCCTCTTGTCAGTCCTGGGCACTCTGTCTGCTGGTTCCCTTAACTGGGCAATGGATCTGTGTCTCTTGAGCAGGGAGGGAGAGGGGGCTGGTTTTAGGGTTGCCGTGGGTTACTGTTACCGAGAGCTGTTTGAATGGTTGCCCAGTCTGTAGAATGCTGCCCTGTGTGTGTCTGTGTGTGTGTGTGTGTGTGTGTGTGTGTGTGTGTGTGTGTGTGTGTGCGCGTGTGCACTGCAGCTGCTCTGTTTGCCCTTTTCCAACTTTTCTATACCCAGTTTGACACAGATAGGTAACAGATGTGTGACATGCACAAGCTCAGCTCGCCGCACAAGCATGTGTAGTATTTGTGCGTGTGCGTTACCGTGTCCTTTCAACTTCTGGCACACATGCACCCTCACGCTGTTTCCATAGCAGTCAGCTGATACAGTGAGCAGTCTGATAGGATGTGTTCCATCGTGGCTCTGGCAGTTTCTGTGAAACCACATCTCTCTCTGGTGCTTCCAGGATCGGGCTCAGTTCTGTTATTTCCTCTCTCCCATGTACACAAGGAAAAAGTGTTGGCATACTGTCCATTTACAATGACAAAGAGTCATTAAGTGCTCAGTTGACCTCTGCAGTGCTCTTTTGAAGTGGAAAATGTGAATGCAGGCTCATTCACACAGCTACTCGGGAGCACTTTGGTCATGTGTCAGCATTGTTTTCAATGGAGTCCCCCTGTCGCTTTGTTTTTTAGTTATTTCTCTCTGTTTGAGTGTGTGTGTGTGTGTGATTTTGTGTGGGGATGTGCCTGGCGGTATCACTTTAACCCTGATGTGTGCTCACACTCTTGCTGTTTCCATAGCAGTGTGTTTGCCAGTGTGAGTGACGACAAGCATTCCTATGGGAGGGTTTGAGCAATGATGTCATTGTCCCTTGTAGCTGCCTCTCTGCTCGGCTGAAGTGATGCCTGAGATGTGCATGTTCAGTGGTGGAATCAAATTCGTCTGCAGAGAAGATTCAGAAAAATTCTCATCAGCGCCACAGCGACTGCAGGGAAACACTGTCTGACTGCTGCGTTCCCAGTGTTTCTGGATTGATGCTCTTCCTGAAGCTGAACCAAATCTGTACTTCTTGCTCTGGATGGATTTTCCAGTCAGAATTGTGATCAGAATTGTGATGTATCTTGTGATACAGTGTCAAATGGTGCTGGGACATCAAACACTGATACACACACACACACATCCTTCTGATACTGAAGGTTATAGATGCTGATTCCTGCCTTTGTTTGGCCTTGATATCTTCCCCTTGTCATTGTGTATCTGTCACTAAGTCTTTTTTCCCCATATCCCCTCCTCTTGCTGTCTTTTCTCTACCCTTTTTCTCTTCTTCTTGCTATTCTTAAGAAGCCTATGGTGTATAATAGAAATGGCTTGGGATAGAGGGATAAGATAATTTATCACCAGTGCATGTGTTGGGAAGGGAGGTGTGAGCTAAGGGTCGCTGGTTCACTGCACAGCCGGCAGAAGTCCTAAGGGAGGCTGTCTTGGAAGGTGCACTTCACTAGGAGCAGAACTAACCTCGCCAGTAGGCTAGCTTTTCTTAATTGCATTTCTACTGCCTGGGGCTTTGAATTGCACGTTACATTCATCTCAAAAAGTACAACAAATATGAATAAATAAGAGTACTTCTCCTTTTTTTTTTTGGTGGTGAGGTATATCAGAGTTTGACTAAATTGTCTCGGGGCCAGGGAAACTTAATTCAGTGGAAGTTGATTGACCAGTCTCGGATTTGTTTAGGCCAGTGACAAAAATGGTTGTTCTTTAGGTCAGGTTTTTATTTTGAACACGGTTGCAATAGAAATAAAAATATCAATATATTCAAGTACGAAAAAGGCACATAATTTAAATAATCATAAATCATGTGCAGAAAGGAGTAGGAAGAAGTTATCACTGTCTATCTTTATAGCTGTCTTACGTCTAACCCAATTTTAAAACACTCTTGGCTTGCTTGCCATGTAGCCCGATTGGGATGAGCTAAACACCCAAGTCAACTTTTGGGACTGAAAGTGACCTGTACTGATGTTATAATAAAAATCTGAAAGTACTGACGTCATCTTCATCATACTCTCATTCTTTCTCCTTGTAGCCATTTGGTACACTCTGCTGTTTTTGAAATGTCGTTATCAAAGCTATCTAATTCCAATGCCACCTGTTTATTCAGTATCAATAGCTGGTTTAGTTTTAAAGGAATTCCTACTAATCACTTGGAAAGCAGATCTTTTGGAGAGGTATTCATATGTGTGTACCTCTGTCAATTTAAGCCACACAAACCATGTGCTTTGGGCTCAAGGACAAACCTGACAGTACAGTGTTACTTTTGTTAAATTTGGGTTCTACAGACAATTGTGTGGATTGACAGACTGTGATTGACAGCTACAAATCATCGACAAATGCGGTCACAAAACCTCAACTCTGCTGCTCCTAATTGAATAACTGATCCATTGCTCAGGAGCCTGTACACCAGGCTAGTAAGATGGATTCACTGGCCAAGCAGGCTGGTTGGAAAAAATATTACAATGCACTCTGGGGATTTGCTCACAACTGTCTCAAAAACACACACAAGAGGAGTCCACATCTCTCCCTCAAACCACCGTCACTGCAGCTCACTAGTATCCCATGTGGTCGGTCATCCACTTCCCCCTGGAGTGAAATAGACTACATTTAGCTTTGTTGCGCCACTTTGGGCCTGCTTATATTGAGAAATGCTGAACAGTCGTAAAAGTGGCCCACAACATCTGCCTGTGGCCGTTTTCTCTTTGTGTTTGGGAGAAGATGTTACATTAAGCTCTGCTCTGGAAATTCGTGAGGTGAATGAGGACTCTGCTTCTCATTTTTACTCATTCTTCCTTTTATTCCTCTGCGACGACCTTTATCAAGATATATTTTTTAGATGCCTTTTACTCTACTTTTATAAGGTTTTAAATCATGGCCATAGCACGCAAAAAGCTTTTTATTGTCATGGCATTAAATGCTTATTACAGCCCATTTCATCGATGTGCATACATCCTTCTAGTTGGCACAACACAAGACTGCAGCTACTGAAGTAAATCTGCACTGTTGTGTGCAGAAAAAGTGGTTGGTTTTGTCTTTGTATTCTACATAGTATCTGAATTTGTGCAGTGCAAGTCAAAAATCAACAGCAGTGTCAGAGACGGTAACATACCCAGGATTCATCAGTCGTGATATGGCTGCTACGAAAGTTGTCATCATTGTGAATCATCAGGAAAAATATGTTTTTTTTTTCTCAGACTAGTGTTACAACAGACACAAGTACGAAACACCTGACAGGAGTTTAGTTGAGGATTAATATCAACCTATCAACCCGTCAGAAATGAGAAACTTTGCTTGATAGCTGCAATACCTAACGAGTTATGTAGCAAACAGCAAGATTTTGTATTTCTTCCAATCCACATATTTCCTACATTATCATAAAAAAAATATTTAGTTTAATGCTAATTTCATTAGATAATAATAGAGTTCTGAATCTCTCCCAACCCACATGTTTCCACACATTGTGAAATTAAACATTGGTTTAATTCCGATAGAACAGTGTGGAAATTGCTGACTTGGTAGGGCAAAATAAAATCTTGCGACCAGAGAAAGCTCACAAACTGTAGTAGTGAAATCATATTTATCGATTCAGGGAAATGAGGTTACTTATGTTCCTTTTTTAAAATTATAATTAGGTGTGAGTGCTTATGCTTTATGAGGGACAGAAAATGACATAAGTAGAAATAAATGAATGCAGGAATAATTAAATACATAAATGACAAATAGATAGATTTTGGTAATGACAAAGTCTATTTATATATTTTTTTACTTCTAGATAATGCAACATTTTTAGCAGCTTACCCTTTTGAGTTTTTCCCCCGAGAAACTTTGATGGTAGAAGTTGAAATGGACTAATTCAGCATTAATGGTTCAACTTGATACTTTCTCAGCCTTTAGGACTTTAACACTTAGTTCAATTACACTGATCTCTACAGAGCTGACTCTGCTCTGCTCTGAGTCTGAGAATAAGGCAGTAGAAAAGTGTAGGATAATTCATTGGATGCTTTTCTGCAGCTGATTGTTAACCACCTCTCATTATGGATAATAATGTTTGTTTATTCAGCATTTAAAGGTTATAAGAGAAGGTCATTCCTGATGCTTTTAATGACTCCTTCATTCTTGTAGTTGAGACAGACAGTATTTGAGCCGAGCATCTACAAATTACAGCGTTATTCCCTCAACACAAAGGGCATGTTTTTCTGTCTGAAGCTCATCAACATGTTTTATATAATGTCAGGGTGATCATTCGAGTTAAACACAGACTTTATCCCCATGATAATTAAAGATACTAAAATATATTAATCTAGGAAAGGTTATTCAGAAGATCAAGAATGAATTAGGCCTGTTATATAATTTAGCATGGAGGATTTGCTGTCTCTATACATCATTAATGAGCAGACAAGTGCTGCATCTTAAAAGGCTGCTGAGACTACAGGTGTGCCTTAATTGTGTTCACAAAAATCCTCTGTGGCCATTGACATTAGATATTAATCAGGATTATGGATATCGGGAGCTTATTTGCTTAAAAGGGTTCCATTACTTTAGACCAC